TTGACACTTTGTGATTGCTTTTAATTAATCTTTATCTCTTCAGCTAGAATTTAACCCTCATAAAAGCAAAAATTGTGATTTTTTTTCTTTTCCAATGCTTCATTAAATTTTTAGTATTTAGCATTATGCTGAGCATATTTGAAGGAATTAAACAGCTATTTATGGAAGAAATAAATGAAATAAATGAGTGAATAAACTTCATGGTTGTCATATGTCTTTTGGCTTGAAAATGACAAAACTTATCATGAGAACCTTTTATTCCCAGGGAATTCAAACACCAGTAATAGACATTCGGTGGCATATAAAGGACCTTAACAAATTTATTAGATCTTTGTAGAAAATTTTCTTGTAATTCACTTTAATTTTTAATTACAGCCTCCTAATGAATGTTCACTAAATATTTTTTTAGGGTAGCTTTACATACCTAAGCTTTATTATCTATAATTCTTTCACTTTATTTGTCCTTTCTGGCAATCAACCTGTTTAAATAATTTAATGGCATTCCTTGAAATAAACCCCTCCTCCTGACTTCAACCTTATCACCATTATTTTGACATTTAGCTGTCATTTCTGTGAGTCACTGATTCTGACATAAAAATATCATGAGGGAATATACAGGCACTTCCACATTTTGATTGAAAATTATCATTTTTAACTAAATTTCTAATAGTTTCTCTTTTAAAAATATTCCTATGGGGTACCTGTGTGGCTCAGTGGGTTGAGCCTCTGCCTTTGGCTCAGGTCATGATCTCAGGGTCCTGGGATCGAGCCCCGCATCGGGCTCTCTGCTCAGCAGGGAGCCTGTTTCCCCCTCTCTCTCTGCCTGCCTCTCTGCCTACTTGTGATCCCTCTGTCTTTGCCTAATAAATAAATAAAATCTTAAAAAAGAAATTCCTAATTGAGCTTTTGACAGATATGAAATTTGTCAGTTCTTAGATTTGTCGTATGGCTAAATATTATGTCCAATATAATCACCTTATAATATTTAATAAAAGAGGCACCATTGGATCTGGTTTTTTAAGTGTAATTTGTAAAATACACTGAACCATTGAGCACATGTTTATAGTCTTGTAAGTTGCTTTGAATAATCTTATTTGTTCTTTTTATCTCAGATGCAAATATGCTAGAAAACTTGACAAAATAAGTTGGGCAAAAATAAAATGATATATAACTGGTTTCTCAGCTACACAAACAACATAGGTAGAGCACAGTAAGAGCAGAGGGACTGGTGAAGCTAGTAACTTGTGTTCACATAGAAATAACACTAATAACAAGTAATTTCATTACTCAGCACGTCCACCCTGGCAGCTAAGGCAAGACCAGGTACCGGGACCTTTTGTCCACATGTCTTAAGCCACATGTTGGCTTCTTAACTCTTCTGTCGTTAGCTGCTTTCACCCAGGTATGTTTCCTTTTCAAGGTTTCTCAAGTTAGAAGTTGATTTTACAGCTTTAGTTTTTTATTTAAAGTATTGGTTGAGAGGTAAGTTGTGTATAGTGAGATGTACTCAGGGCCCTATACTCTTTTTGGAGTCGTTCTGCAAAGTCTCTGCACCAGCATTGACTAGAGTCATGAGGCAAGCCTGCCTGCAGCCTGATGACACCAGTGTGGGGCTGAAAGGAGGGCGGGTTGTGGCTGGACAATGAAGCAAGTTGATGTCAACAGAGAGTTTAGAGAATAATAATAATATCTCACAATATATTAGATCCATCTATTGCGTCAATTATTTCTTAAGCTAATGGCAACGTCTCTTAATTTTATAACAATAACACTAAAGATTAACAGCTAACTGTGCGTTGGTGACCATTTACTGTGCATTGAAGCATAAAAAGCTTTAACGCACTCACAGACAGCTTTTTGTTTTCTTTATGATATGCTCATTTCATATAATTTTTCTTATAAAATAGAAGGCATTACTTCAAGTTATAAATCTTTAGAAGGTAATAATTTTTCCTGTTTTCTTCCTCCCATGCCAGATTTCACAAAAGTTTTTCCAAAAAGCAAGTTTTATTCCCATTGTCACTAAATTTCCAAACATTTTGATAACTGTTATTTTTAAATGCCACACATAGCTATAGTTTACTTTAAAAAAGTAATATTAAAAAAGTAATATTGGCCTTTGTGAAGAATAATAATTAGTCATTAGATGCTTTTAGAGATTTTCTCTATGGGAGAGCAAAATTTAATATCTGAGGCTTACCATCAAAAATACAGTAGCAATAGAAACAAAATAAAAGAAACTAAGAAATTTAAAAACAACATTGGGCAGAATTTGAATCTGATACTGTGATATATTAAAATTAGTCTTACATAGCAAAAATCCAGCCAATACAGGAAGGGGACATTTGGAGACTTTGGAAATACTACTGATGTTTCTCATACACTTTTTTAAAATGTTGTTGTGTGAAATTATGCTAAGTCATGATCTCATTAATAAAGTACATTAATATTCAAAATTGACTTGAAAAATAATTTAATAAAATCATAGTAAGTAGGAGCAGTTTTTTTCTGTGTATAATCACAATTGTATAGGAGTTAGAGCTTTGGCAAATAGAGAGCACAACCAATATACTGATGTAGGGTTGAAAATAATTTACAAAATTAATTTAATAAAATGCTTAAAACAGTAACTAACAAGTATTAACAAAATAACAACAAAGCTGTTTGTACTTGCATTAACAACACATTTATGCCAAAATCGAATATAAAAATAATATGCAGCAGATTGATATCTGACATAAGATACAATAAAAATTAATGTTCACATTGAAGACCTGAAGTTGCAACATCTCTATATATGCCTTCTAAATATCTTTTCACTTTCATTCTCGGTTGTGTTGAATGCAGCTCGTTTTGACCTAATAAGATGTCAATTGTAATATCCAGAATGCTTCTTAGAGTAGAACACTACATTTCCCCTACCACACCAGATAAAATAATTTAATGTATTTATTTTAACAAAAGGTCCATCCATTGCTACTAACTCTGAACTACAGAGTAGGTGTTTTGTTTTGTTTTAATTCTCTAGCACTAACTGTGGTTCTTAAAGATATCTACAGTTGATATTCGAATTGTCATGCTGTTCCTGAAAAGAACAATATATTTTATCCTGAAGGTTTTACTGTAATTCACCCCTAAATTTTACTTTATTTGGAAAGGTTTCATCATAAAAACATGTCTACTATTTATATATGTCAAGATTGATTCCACTACATTTTGTAGAACAAGCACAGATTTTTATATCAGACAAGCTGGGTTTCAACATCTAACTTTACACGGTGACCCTGGGAACATTACATACCTCCTATGAGCCTCCATTCCTGAACTACAAAATAAGAGCATCACCACAATTCTCAAAGGGTAGCATAAAGTTTTTTAAAAAGCCTGTGTCCTGTGCCTAGTACTAGGCTAGGCATAGAGTAATACACTAGATGTTAATGGTATTTTTCCCTCTCTTTCCCATTGCTGATATATTTGGCTAATTGAAGATTAGTGAAAAAATATAGAAGTTACTGGAATAAATCAGCTCCACTAAAAAGCTCATTATATTGCAGGCAATAGTTACACACTCCCAAAGTAACATTCAGTAAGATCAAAAGACTGGATTTAAAAATGTATTTACATATTATAATTCATATGCAAGAAATATTTTTCAGGGCAGCAATGACCAAAAAAATGAATAAGCTACACCTGTGTGTATAGTTTAATTTTGTAAAAATGAAGAAAAATACCCAATTTTATTAAATGTCAAATGTTCATGGACAGGTAACAGAAACAAATCTACTTCATATAGCAATCAACATCAACATTAAAACATATCAAAATAGAGTTTCTGTAAAAGAAAAAGCCTTTTTTTTAATGGCGTTAATAATAATTAGAAGTTCCCATTATTTGTCCATGAAACCTCCAAAGAAAGGTGCTACTTCAAACAGGATTCTAGTAGAACTTGGCACATAAATTTTAACTTTTCCACCACCCACTACTTTTCATCTTCTTGTAGCTTCACTCACTCAGACAACCTCGCGTATACATACACAATATTAAAAACACACATGCCTTTAAAGCAGAACAAAAGCAGTTCACCATATTTATACCCAATGTTCTAAGTTGTGGAGATGGATTTTCCTCACAGAGCTGCTAATTAACATAAATTATTTTGTTCAACCTTTCAAAAAGTGTGTCTCCTAGGAGGCTCTGTTTGATCATGTGCAAGAATTCTAAGGCATTATAAGTAATTGTTCCACAGGACAAGTGCTGCCCTTGCAATGATATACTCTTGATACATTTAACAAGTCTTTAGTCTTCAAATGCCACAAGATAGACATAGGGAGACATTCATAGTCTACAGATGGTTGGCTCAAAGATCAAAAATTTTGTTTAAAAAAAACATTTATGGAATAGCACCATAGAAAGTCTTTCAGAAACAAATCCTTTTTTCCAACATTCCTTTTTTTTAAATGAATCCCAAGAAGAGAGAAAAAAAAAAAAAGAAGAAGAAAAAGAGAGAGAGAGAGACCTTTCAATGACTACACAGCCTACTTCCACTTCATTTCATTTTTTTTTTAAATACAACATTAACTATTACAACATCAGCAATAACAACCACAACAGATCAACAACAACAGAAAAGACAATAGCAGCACTGGTGACTTGAGAATGGACTATCCAGGCAGTCACTTCGAAGAATTCTGTTCACTCCTGTTGGGAGTTCTCTCTTGAAGTTCCCAAGACATCACAACGCTTCTTAAATTTGGTGTGAAAAGGCAGCACTTTCACTGAAAGAACTTGAGTTTACCAATTAACTGGGCATTTTCCAGCACTTAAATAAATGATGCCTAGAGTTTAACTGCAGTAATAGACACTATTGGCATTTCCAACTTGTCAAAACGTCAGTAAAATGAAGTGGTCTCAAGGTCATTTGTGTCTCAAAGAGGTGAATCTGGCCTGCAAGTGAAAATAATGAAGCTGAAATATTCCAGTTTCCAAACTTCCGGACAAGCCCACATTTAAAGGACAAACCGTCCTCCAGACTCCCATTTCGCAACATCCCATATGGATTTGTATCCAAGATACAAAGCCAAAGCGTTCATCCTAAAATACAAGAAGAGAGTTTCTCAGTTTATGACCTGCAAGATCATTTTATTTCTCCCAAATCTTGAAAAATTGTCAAAAAGAAACACTCTGCAAGGTCACAGATCCCGAATCAAACTGTCTATTGCAAGACATCTATGTCAACTGTGAACAAAAGCTTCTGGAGTCTTCCTTGAAGTTACATGATGTCCTCTCATCAACTTTATTTATATTTATACCATCAAGCATGGAAATCCAGTATCGTGGCAATGCTGATCAGAGTTGGCTTGAAACTTCTCTTTTAGTACAGAGATAATCCTGGTCTTACAGTTTTCTTCTGGTCAAACTCATTATATAAAACATTTTTGCTAATATCTTCATTTTTTAAAAAAAAATACGTCTTCTCTCCATTATGCACATTCCTTTATATTTTGATGGAGGTTTTGGTGTTATTTTTTGGTATGCATAGTATCTGGATATCTAATGCTTTTGTATCTTATATGAAATCCTTTCTTGTTGATTGTGTCATCAGTGTGAAAATGAATTAAAACCGCATCCCCAATTGAATAGATCTCTTCTGGTGGCTGAAGACAAAAACAAACAAACAGGCAAATAAACAACAGAATGGGTCACTTTTTTTCTTCAGTGTAATTCATGTTTCTTTGGGATTTTTTTTTTTTTTTGGATATGATTTAATCCTCCCAGCAACCTTGAAAAGTGGGTATGAGTGACTTCTTCATTTTACAGATGAGCAAACTTGAGTTTCAGAGAAGCAAATGACATGCTCAAGATCATAGGCATTGATGTAGCTGGGCTAGGAACATAAATCTGTTTCCAAGTTCTGGAACTTGTGGGTTTATTTTCCCCCAAAATTTTAAACCAAGTTCCTCTGATTTACAAGTAAATAAAGTAAGGTTCAAAGACGGTAAAGAGATTGAATTTGTTTCAGGAGGGTCTCTGAGGCAGAGCCACTTCCAGAATCCAAATCACCCATTCCTTCTTGTTTTAATAATCTAAATACCAAAAAGCTTTTTTCTTTCATTTCAGCTGATATTTGAAGAGGAATTCAATATTATTCAAGTTCAATATTATGTAAGCAATAGACACAGGTAGACAAAAAAAATGGGACTAGTGTCTTCAGAACAAAATATGTATTCAGAAGACCCCTTGATATTTATGTAGGGAGTCCTGGGGAGAAAAGCATGAAGGAAATCTCAAGCTTTCCTTTTGCTTTTTCTCACGGCAACACTCTTTGACCTGTGTCTGGCATTGTGTCCCATGCACAAGTGACACACTGCAATGGAGCAGCATTGTGGCAGTGTTGGTTCAGCCCACACACCAGTGGTGGCACGAGCCACTCAGCAAGTGTCTTTGTTGAAAGGAGAATGCCAATTTGAATTGTGTGCATAATTCCTTTTCCTTTATGCTTTAATTTAGGAAGCTTACCAAATTGTTAAAGGTATGTGTTTAAATGTATTGCCTTTAGAATCTTAAATGTTTAAACATTTATTGCACAAAAAGAACGTGAATAAAAAAGAATGTGGACAGGAATAAGCAATTATACCTACTAAATTCATCTCTCTTGTGTGGTATTATTGAGAAAATTCACTAGAGATGGAGAAGAGTTAAGGGAGAATAGGCGAAAATAATACGGGTTAACCTTTTTTTTGTAAAAACATTGCCGATTTGCATATGGTACACGTAACAATCATGAATCAGTGGGCATTTTCTAGCACGGTTATGGGATCCCGTCAGTACTGTATTTACCCCTGATCCACAGAATCGACCAAGCCCCACCGCTGTTGAATCGAGACCATCAAAGAGCTCAACATAGTCATAGCCACAGTCGGCTTCTTCCTCCACTTCAAAAATCTGGAAGGATAACTCCAGTCGAAAGCCCCGTTCTGACACTAACAGCCATTCACAGTCGACTTGTCCCGGGTAGTTGTTATCACCAAACTGCGCATGCGAATACAGGTCTCTGGGTTTGGGGTCTGCTTTCAGTCGGCCACCACACTCTGCCCAGGACAGAAACATGAAATAAATTCAGTGAGTTTTAACAAGTCGGGTTTCAACTTCAATGTAGTGTAACCGTTCTCTAACTTCTGAATGCATTTTCATCAGAGATGTTTCCCATAATCGTAGAGTCCGAGGGTGCACCGGGGTACCACCAGACCCTGGGCCTGGATTGCTGGGTTGGAATATCACCTCCAACACCTACGAGCTCAGTTCTTTAGATGAGAGATGTCGCTTATCTGATCCATAGGGCTAAACGCAGATGATAAGAATAGTCCCAATCTCAGTGGGTTTTGAGAATGTAATGAATACTTGAAAATCACTTAAAACAGTGCCTAGCATATAGTAACTCTCAATACATACTTTCATTGTTAAACGTGATATGTGATACTGATAACTAATTCTCCTAGAAATAAAAAGGTCAGTATCTTAATTCAGGCTTAACCTTACTCAATTAAGAACCCAGAATCCAAAGGAATAAGAAATAACTTAAAAATTGGCAAAATACATAAAACTCCTGTGTGTGTATGCATGATACAGAACTCTACATAGACTACATAGAACAATTTTATTTAGGTAGAAATATTTATCTAACTTGGTTGGGAAAAACATACATACATCTTTAATTGTAATAACTTTTGTAGTCCCAGAACTTATTAAGTATATTTTGTGTTTGTAATAAATAAAAAATTTTAACTGCTCTTTTCACAGCTTCTTTTCCAGAGAGATATTCATAAACATACGGTTTACCAATTATTACTTTTGTCACTAGAGGTAAATATACCAGATAACTAGATGAAGATGCATAAAAATGTACAGCTAGTATAATTTAGAAATGAAAGTTTTCAAAAAAACTTTCTCAGAAACTTTGTAATAGAGCCCCCAAACTTCCTAATGACTAGAGATTAAAAAACAAACAAACAAACAAAACCAAACACCTAGAGATTAAATACAGATTCCTTCCAGCCAATACACACGCAAATTTATGGCAGGAGGTTGGGGAGAAGAAGATAAAAAAGGGCTATAAAAATGTTTGAAGAAATCAGAGTTTCTTTCTATCTCTGGTTGTCAACTGCTGAGAGGTTCCTGGGACGCAGTGATTTCAGGGCTAAAAATCAGAAAAGTCCCAGGAAAACTGGGATAAGTTGGGAGGGGACAAAACCAAAAATCTAACGTAGAAAGATGTGGACAAGCCAGAACACTAGATAGAACACACTTCTGTAACATGGTCATCTGTGACAAAACAGTCCCGGTGACGCCATATGAGGATGGATTACACAACCAAAAACACTTAGTTGGATTTTTCAGATTTGTCTATGGTGTACCCACACTGATGATTTTAAATAACAAAATATTTCTGAATCCTCAGGATGGAACCCCATTCAGATGTATCTAAATACACGTAGGCTCAACCAAACCTATGGGCACTGTCACAAAGACATCAAGATTCTTGTGTGCGATAGAGGAACAAACTTCCAACCAGGGTTTCAGTCATGAGAATGACTTTCCCCCTAGGCTGTGTTCCATGAAGAACACAAGCATCCCTCCACGTTCCAGGTGGCAGGTGGAGCATCTCGCACAATCTATTGCTACAAGGGCCACTATTGCAAATGTAAACGTGTTAGAATCCCCTGAAAGCTCAGTTCATCTCTTGAATATCAGCTCTTGAAGCCCAATGACCAGAAGCCAAACATTCTACCCTTCCTACCCATGATGCTTCTCTAATTTGAAAATTTATCATCTTTCCTCTGTGACAGATCTCCACAGACAAACTACCTGGGTCCCAATCTGAGCTCTGCCCTTCATTAGCTGTGGGACTTTGTCTCACACTTCATTTTGAAGACAAGGATCATACCTAATACTCACGTCATAGGACCTAGATGAAGAGTGAATGGGTTAATACATGTAAAATGTTTGAAGGACACCTGACACATAGGAAAGGCCGTATTAGTGCAAGCCACCATTACTGTCATTATTGTCCAGTGAGAACATCTAAATGCCATCACCTGTGATGTTAGGGATCCACTCAGGTATGAAATGAAATGCCAGAAAAAATGAAAAACAATTTAAAACACTATTAATCTGCTATCATAAAGGAAGACTTGTATTTTTGAAGGCCAGTAAAATATTTTGTGAAAAATATTTCCAAATTTAATACATAAATGTAAAAACCAGTGTAATCTCACTTAGATAATTTTTTAAATTCTACCTATTCTCAAAAAAAGGGGAAAAAAAAGAAAAAAATCTACCTATTCTTTGATATAATTGCCTGATTTGTTTTTGTTCCAACTAAAAAAAAAAAAAAAAAAATATTGCCAGCACTTGGATGACTTTGATTCCACAGCCAGGAAGAGCTGAAGGAGCCCACTGAGAGGTAGAGAAGGCACCCATTTCGGTGTGTCTGCTTTGCAGAGGGAAAGGAGTAGGAGAAAAGATCCAGATCCAGAAGACACAATTCTCTGCCAGCCTCAACTTGGAACAAAAATCAAGGAGGAAATGAAGTAGTTGAACAAAATGGAAAAGGAGATTTCATGAAACCTTTGTGAATGTGAAAATGACAGTGAGGAGTTATTATTTGATTTTATTGAAAACATTTAGAGAATGGCAATATTCAAAATAAATAAATTACATTTAAGGATGACTTAAAATGTTTCATTACGTTTGCCTGTTTCCATTTCTCTGTTTCAGTGCACAACTGCATTCCTATGGATCACTGATCAAACTAATAAATCTGGAATTAATGTTCCAACCATGAAAACGAGAGAGAGAATTTAGTCCACAGCATAAAATTTTTAATAACAGAGATTTAAATATTATATGCACAAGATGTGTGATTTTAATATGCCTTGAGAGAAATTCCATAAGCAGAAAATTACAGGCAGCATGAGGGAAATTTGAGACTCCTTATGGCAATTCTTCAAAATATGGTCAATATATCATTTAATATGGTCCCTTTAAAGGAGGTTTTTAATTAAATACATTTCCTCCAAATATTCCTATTCATTTACCAAGTTGGAACAATATAAAAGTAGTGTAGCATGTCAGCAGTATTGTTTTTAAATCAATTGTTTGAAAATACTTTGGAAACTGCCAGAACATCTTCTACAGAATTCTGGAAAATGAAAATGAAGCTGAATAAGAAAGGTAACAAGGGAAAAAAAGCCTTGGGGGTGGTTTTCATTTTAATTTGGAAAGACATGATTGTTTATTTCCCCATAAAGTATTAAATTCCCAAAGAGGTTCTGTAATTTGACCTATACATGCTTTGAGTGGGCATTCTAATTTAATTGAGTTAGATCAAAATAATTTCCTTTCTAAGAAGTTTAATAATGCATTATTTGACTTTTAAATGTCATTGACAAATAGTATGATGCTGTAAACTACAGGAAAGAAGTCCTACCAGACAGGCCATGTTTTATTTTATTTTATTATTTTTAAATATTTCAAGTTTTTATTTAAATTCTAGTTAGTTAGGATATAATGTAATATTAGCTTCAGGAGTAGAATTCATTGCTTCATCACTTATGCTCGTTACAAAAACTGCTCTCCTTAATCCCCATCACCCATCTAACCATCTCCCCTCACCCACCTCCCTTCCAGCAACCCTCAATTTGTTGTCTACAGCTAAGATTCTCTCTTATGGTCTGTCTTTTCCTCTTGTTTTTCTTTAGACGGGCTATGTTTTAAAATATTATTTTCTCTCCACTGTTTCCTCTTCTTCTATATTATAGCCATATCGTCTGAGAGAATACAAGGGATATATTTTTTACTGATTTGTTTCTTCAGTGAGTTTCTTTTAAGGGTGATGTAATACTATTCATTACCTGATTAAAATATATTTGGGCTTAGAATTTAGACCTACCATCAGAGGGAAAAAAGAACTCTTTCCAATAAAGTCCATTTCTTATGGATTTTTTCACAGCATTACTTGTGAAATATATAGCCATAAAACCATATTAGAGCAATATTTCTAATCACCTGGTTTCAAAATTCATGGTATTAGAAATTTTTCTCATGGATAAAATTCAAATTGTAGAGAAATTTACAAATTTACTCAAGCAAATTAAAATGTGTATGTCAGTAATCAATGAAACATCAATAATGTTTCATGTATTCTATAAAAGGCAGTAAATAGTGAATAAGTGTTCTATACCTGTAGCAAAAATGAACTGATGTCGTACTGGACTTGACTGTCTTGTCAGTAGAAACTGACTGAAAAACCACAAGTACTGAAACTTCTGAAAATCAGAGGTGTAACTAAGACTGTAAGCTTCAATGGGAAAGAATTCCTTCTATTTCCCTGTAAATTTCCACAAATGCCTAGCTTTTTGCCATATGTTAGGAACACCTTCCAATGTCTATCCAAAACAGGTACCAAATAAATATTTGATGAAAGACTATGGAATAAATGAACTTGTTAAACAGCAAGCTTTGAGAAGAGATAAATGGTAGGCAGTTACGTAAGAAGGTTTCAGCATGTACGGCTACTAGAAAGTAACAGTATAACAGACCCAGAAAAGATAGCTGGGTAAGTGAGAGCAAAAATTTATGGGTGAAGAGGAAAAAACCACAAACAGATTAATACCAAAAATGTTGACAACAACAAGTTAGTAGGAGTTAAGAAGCCAGGATTCCAATACCAACTGTTATTTTTTTGTTCTACTTTGGTTGTCATTTAAGTCTTAGTTTGGAAACCTCATAAGTACGATGACAGAGCTGGATTAAAAAATATCTGAGGCACGTTTTGCCTAACAAAAAAGGAACAGGTGGCTCACATGGGTATTTGAGTCAATGTGAACTGAACAGGGAAATAAAATGAGCCTCGTCAGTCACATACGTGGAACAGAGGGTTTTATAAAACTTAGGGAAGGAAGCATTCAATCTATTACTATTGCTTTAGTAACAGTGACCAGTTTTATACTGATTTGCTTCCTAATCTGAAACTTTTACATTAAAAGAAAATATACTATGGTGGAAAGTACGTGAGCTTTGGAGACAGTCAGAGTCAGGATAAAGTCCAGGCTTTGACATGGTTTTAGAAATCCCTGCAAATTAACTAATCCTCCAGATTTTCAATTTCTTTATCTGAAAAATGAGGATGATAATATATCATATAGTCTTTTGAGGACTCAATATATGTAAAGTGTATGTTAAGTATATGTGTGTGCCTAAAATGCCAAGTGCATGCGATATACACCATCAGATCTCAATGGATTCTTAACGGTAATATAGGCAATGCAAATAGGACAACGAGCAGAGGCCATACAAATTAAGGAGTCATGGAGATTTGTAGCTATAATGAACCTTAAACAGTATTTTACAGATGTGGAAACCGAGATCCAAAGAAATTTCTTTTCCAAAGTTCCAAGCTAGGTAATGGCATAATTGGACAAAAAAACCCAAGCAAATGTACCCACATATTGGAACATAATATAGATCTTAATCCTTCTACCCACAAAGGTAAAAGAGATTCTATAAAAGTAAGTTTTTACTAAACCAAGAAGGTATTTGTACCATTCATTGGTACGTAATTTAAAAATATATAGTCAGCTATTTCAAGAATTCTGACAGCATATTTTCAATTGACAGCATATTACTGGAACTTGTGATAGCCTGCATTCCTGGAATTTACGGCATTCCTGTAACTTTTGATAGACAGAATATTTATATATTTATGTTATATATATATTAATATATGTATATATATACATATGTATGTATATATGCCATAAACTCTATGCTATCAGGATAGTATTGATGAAGTATTGGGATTATAATCACTCCATCCCTTCAATGCATAACAATTTATCAGGAAAATATTTAAGGAGTAAATGTCAAATGTATGGAAAAACCTTTCATTAGTATGAAATTTCTGTAGTCCATGAAAGATTCTTCTCAAACTGAAATATTTATATTAATCATAAAAAATAATTAATTCACATTATTAATGAGTTCAACCATTACTAGTATGAATCAGATAAATATTCTGACAATATTCAGTTTCTCACATGTAGACTTCAATATAAATTTAATATTCATAATAAAATGTACTAAAGTGGAAGATAACATTGGCCAATGGAATAATTAAAATTCTGATTTCTCAAACAAAATTAAACAGAAAAAATAAAAGCAATAATCAGAGCCCACAAAAAATGCTGTACTTAAATTGTTTTATGGACAAATTTGTACACTATTATACTGTGTATTGTCTTACGAGTTCTACCAGGCAATGTCTTAATAGCTTATTCATCAAGACTGCCACTAGGTGGCACTATAAGATAAATGACTTCAGGAAACTGCGCGCAACTTTTTTTTAAAAATTAATGTTAAACAAAGGACATTTCCTAGACATTTATGAAATATAGTATTAAGCTGGCTCAAACTTATAAAAAAATTCTATGTTTTTGCTTTAAATTTTCCATATTTTTTTCTGAATTATATTTTATTTCTTGAAAACTTCTATTACAAAGTCAAATTAGGGATTAGGATTCAGAAAAAGATTGTATTGCACACCAAATAAAAGGAAAAACAAATGAGACTCTGTAAAATGGAGAGGTGAATTCCAAATCAGATTTACAAAAATATGTATTAAAGCAAAAGCTGGCCAACCAGGTAGGATGTTAGAGAAAATTCAACTCTTGAATACTAAGACAGAGATTTCTAGCTGTTAAATAGAGCATATAAATCAAACTGCACAAGGTTGGGGGCGCCTGGGTGGCTCAGTGTGTTAAAGCCTCTGCCTTCAGCTCAGGTCACAATCCCAGGGTCCTGGGATCGAGCCCCACATCGGGCTCTCTGCTCAGCAGGGAGCTTGCTTCCCTTCCTCTCTTTCTGCCTGCCTCTCTGCCTACTTGTGATCTCTGTCTGTCAAATAAATAAATAAAATCTTAAAAAAAAAAAAAAACTGCACAAGTTAATATGGAATCCATTATACAAATATTTAGAGATAGTTCTACTTGATCATCAGCTCAAACTACTGCATTTCTTTCTGAACGTTCAACAACTACAAAGATATTTAAGTAGAATGCTACATAGCTCTCAAATATTTCACACACAGTGCTTCATTGAGATTTCTTCTGCTGTGCTCAGAAATTCATTAATGTTCCTGTTATAGGAGCCATTGCATTCACTAGAAGAGTTAGGAAAGAGAAACATGGCCCTAATTTGCTGACCTGTAGTATGTGTGGCTTGAAAGCCTTTCCTTTGAACAGATGCATCAGAAACAAACCGAACAAACATATTACTTCCGGTAGCCACAAGGGGCTCTGGTATCTTGTTACCACAGAGTCTTCCAAGAATTGGTGATTTTTCTGTTTCTCCATCGAATACTTCCAAGTGATCATAAGCACATTCTTGATGCTGCTCAATCTCAAATTCACTAAAGGCCTATTTAAAAAAGAAAGGGAAAGGAAAGGGAAACAAAACAAAAAACATAACACTCAGAATTTTATTTTTTCCTTTGGAGCAGAAATGCACATCAATAAAACATGCTCAGGACATAGAAATAAATTAATCCATATAGAACATTATTGAAAGGGCTGTAAAATCAGTAGAATGTAAAGTCTCTGGAAAAAGATAATGTAGAAAACAGCACAATAACTCCATGTGAAATTCTACTATTCAACTATTACAACTAAATCACAATCAAAACTATCACAGAACTATCACAATCAACTCCAGAACTTAGACAAATTATAATAGTGGTGATATTTTATTCTTAATATAATTTTAAGTTTATAATTATTGCATCAGAAAATTTTAAACACCTGCATTTTAAAAATTGATTTCTTCTGGTTTTGATTATCATAAACTATTGCATATCATCCTACCTTGGGGCACTTAAACTAAGGAGAAAACTTCAAAAAATGATTGTTATATTTTCACAAAATTAAGTACAGTAAATCTTAATACAATAACTAAAACCAAGAAAATTTTCACTATATACTTCTTTATTTAGATCCTACAATCTATATTATTAGCAAATACTAATACAGGAGTAAAGATGGCAGAGGAATAGCAGGCTGAGATGACATCAGGTAGCAGAAGTTCAGCTAGATAGTTATCAAATCATCCCGAATACCTACAAATCCAACAGGAGATGGAAGAGAAGAGCAGCAATTCTAGAAACAGAAAATCGACCACTTCCTGAAAATTTATCTTAATATCTTTCTTAAAAAAAAAAATCTTTTTGAACCTTTATTATTATAGTCATACTATATCCTTCATGGTATCTAACTTTATCTTTTGTATACACATAGGGTTTTTTCTTCTAAAAAATTTTGGGATACAATTTCTTCTAATAGATCAAAATATACCCTAAGTCTAGCACAGGGTTTGTTCTAGTGACAGCCTGAGCAAATTCTCTCCACTTTCTTTTTCTTTCTTTTCCCAACCAATTTATGTTATCAACTCCTTTTTTAGAATTTTTTTTAAATTTTCATCTTTACAGTTATATTCCATCCCTTCGTCATGTTTACCCATATTTGTGTGTGTGTGTGTGTGTGTGTGTGTGTGTTTCTTTATTTAAAATTTTAGGAGATAGTGTCTTCTAAGAGACCAAAATACTTCCAAAATCAAGTGGGTGGCTCTGTTTCATTCACCAGTATAATATATGTATTTTCTGTTTTCTTTTTCTTTTTTTTAATTTATTTTTTAACTCCTTTTTACCCTGTTTCTTCTTCCTGCGATTTGCGGTCTCTTCTGATTTGGTTAACTCACATTTTTCTGGGGTCTTTGCCACCCTTTTAGTATTTTATTCTCTCATCCATATATTCTTATCTGCATAAAATGACAAGGTGGAAAAACTCAATACAAAAAAAAAAAAGAAAAAGAGGGAGTACTGAAGGCTAAGGAACTAATCAATATGGACATTGGTGATATGTCAGATCTAGAGTTCAGAATGACAATTCTTAAGGTGCAACTGGGGCTCAAAAAAGACATGGAAGATATTAGAGAAACCCTGTCTGGAGAAATAAAGGCCCTTTCTGCAGAAATAAAAGAAATAAAATCTAACCAAGCTGAAAGCAAACAGCTATTAATGAGGTGCAATCAAAAATGGATGCTCTTACTGCTAGGATAAAAGAGGCAGAAGAGAGAATTAGTGATATTGAAGACCAAATGACAGAGAATAAAGAAGCTGAGCAAAAGAGACAAACAACTACTGGACCACAAGCGGAGAATTCGAGAGATAAGTGATACCATAAGACGAAACAATATTAGAATAACTGGGTTTCTAGAAGAAGAAAGGGGTGGGGGGCAGAAGGTATATTGCAGTGAATTTTAGTAGAGAATTTCCCTAATATGGCAAAGAGAACAAGCATCAAAATGCAGGAGGCACAGAGAACCCCACTCAAAATCAGTAAGAATAGGTCCACACACTGTCATCTAATAGTAAAACTTACAAGTCTTAGCGACAAAGAGAAAATCCTGAAAGCAGCCCAGGACAAGAAGTCTGTAACATACAATGGTAAAAATATTAGATTGGCAGCAGACTTATCCACAGAGACCTGGCAGGCCAGAAAGAGCTGGCATGATATATTCAGAGCACTAAAGGAGAAAAACATGCAGCCAAGAATACTATATCCATCTAGGTTATCATTGAAAATAAAAGGAGAGATAAAAAGCTTCCAGAACAAACAAAAGCTTAAAGAGTTTGTAAACACCAAGCCAGCTCCACAGGAAATATTGAAAGGGGTCTTCTAAGCAAAGATAGAACATAAAAGTAGTAGACCAGAAAGGAACAGAGACAAGATACAGTGACAGTCACCTTATAGGCAATACAATGGCACTAAATTCATATCTCTCAATAGTAACCCTGAAGTTAAATGGGCTAAATACCCCAATCAAAAGACAAAGGGTATCAGATGGATAAAAAAACAAAACCCATCAATATGCTGTCTACAAGAAACTCATTTTAGACCCAAAGACACCTCCAGATTTAAAGTGAGGGGGTGGAAAACAGTTTACCATGCTAATGGACATCAAAAAGATGTTGGGGTGGAAATCCTTTTATCAGTTCAATTATATTTTAAGCCAAAGACTATAGTAAGAGATGAGGAAAGACACTATATCATACTCAAAGGGTCTGTCCAACAAGAAGATCTAACAACTTTAAGTATCTATGCCCTTAACATGGGAGCAGCCTACTACATAAACCAATTAATAACAAAATCAAAGAAACACATTGACAATAATACAATAATAGTAGGGGACATTAACACCCCCCTCACTGAAATGGACAGATCATCCAAGCAAACAATCAACAAGGATATAAAGGCTTTAAATGACACACTGGACCAGATGGACATCACAGATATATTCAAAATATTCCATCCCAAAGCAACAGAATACACATTCTTCTCTAGCGCACATGGAACATTCTCCAGAATAGATCACATCCTGCATCACAATTCAGGTCTCAACCACTACCAAAAGATTGGGATCATTCCCTGCATATTTTCAGACCACAATGCTCTGAAGCAAGAACTCAATCACAAGAGGAAAGTTGGAAAGAACCCAAATACATGGAGGCTAAAGAGCATCCTACTAAAGAATGAATGGGTCAACCAGGAAATCAAAGTAGAACTGAAAAAATTCATGGAAACAAATGAAAATGAAAATACAACTGTTCAAAATCTATGGGACACAGCAAAGGTGGTCCTGAGATGAAAGTGTATAGTGGTACAAGACTTTCTCAAGAAACAAGAAAGATCTCAAGTACATAACCTAAACCTACACCTAAAGGAGCTGGAGAAAGAACAACAAAGAAAGCCTAAACCCAGCAGGAGAAGAGAAATAATAAAGATCAGAGAAGAAATCAATGAAATCAAAACCAAAAAAAACAATAGAACAAATCAATGAAAGTAAGAGCTGGTTCTTTGAATTAGTAAGATTGATAAACAACTGGCCAGACTTATCAAAAAGAAAAGAGAGAAGATCCAAATAAATAAAATCATGAATGAAAGAGAAGAAATCACAGCCAACACCAAAGAAATACAAACAATTATAAGAACATATTATGAGCAACTATACGCCAGCAAATTTGACAATCTGGAAGAAATGGATGCATTCCTAGAGAGATATAAACTACCACAACTGAATCAGGATGAAAAAGAAAACCTGAACAGAACCATAACCAGTAAGGAGATTGAAGCAGTCATCAAAAATCTCCCAACAAACAAGAGCTCAGGACCAGGCAGCTTCCCAGGGGAATTCTACCAAACATTTAAAGAAGAATTAATTCCTATTTTCCTGAAACTGTTCAAAAAAATAGAAATGGAAGGAAAATGTCCAAACTCATTTTATGAGGCCAGAATTACCTTGATCCCAAAACCAGACAAAGACCCCATCCAAAAAGAAAATTACAGACCAATATCCTTGATGAAGAAAGATGCAAAAATTGTCACCAAAATACTAGCCAATAGGACCCAATAGTACATTAAAAGGATTATTCACCACAACCAAGTGGGATTTATTCCTGGGCTGTAATGTTGGGTTAATACCCACAATTCAATCAATGTGATACAACACACTAATAAAAGAAAGAACAAGAACCATACGATACTCTCAACAGATGCTGAAAAAGCATTTGACAAAGTACAACATCTTTTCTTGATCAAAACTCTTCAAAGTGTAGGGATAGAAGGTATATACCTCCATCTCATCAAAGCCATCTATGAAAAACCTACCGCGAATATCATCCTCAGTAGAGAAAAACTGAGAGCTTTTCCGCTAAGGTCAGGAACACAGCAGGGATGTCCATTATCACCACTGCTATTCAACATAGTACTAGAAGTCCTCATCTCAGCAATCAAACAACAAAAAGAAATTAAAGGCATCCAAAATTGGCAAAGAAGAAGTCAAACTTTCACTCTTTATCATCTTTTGGGAAACCCAAAAGATTCAACTCCAAATCTGCTAGAACTCCTACAGGAATTCAGTGAAGTGTCAGGATATAAAATCAATGCACAGAAATCAGTTGCATTTCTATACACCAACAACAAGACAGAAGAAAGAGAAATTAAGGAGTCAATCTCATTTACAATTGCACCCAAAACTATAAGATACCTAGGAATAAACCTAACCAAAGAGGCTAAGAATCTATACTCAGAAAACTATAAAGTACTCATGAAAGAAATTGAGGAAGACACAAAGAAATGGAAAAATGTTCCATGCTCGTGGATTGGAAGAACATATATTATGAAAATGTCTATGCTACCTAAAGCAATCTACACGTTTAATGCAATCCCTATCAAAATGCTATCCTTTTTTTTTTTCAAAGAGATGGAACAAATAATCCTAAAATTTATATGGAACCAGAAAAGACCTCAAATAGCCAGAGGAATGTTGAAAAAGAAAGCCAAAGTTGGTGGCATCACAATTCCAGA